TTGTCAAATAAGCTTAAAACAGATCTTCCGCCTCTTCCTACCACTAAAAATCCTGTAACAGTCAAAAGTAAGTCTTTTGTCCTACTTAAAACAAGTGAAGAAGAACTCGAACGTCTCATTCTTAATCTTAAGACTGATTGTGGTGCCGGTTTTTTACAATTCCAATTTTTGAAAACGAAAAGCGGGACATCATCACTAACTATCGTCATATCGTTACTCCCATCTATATCTAAGCTCCTTCAAAGAATAATAAACATTAGACTTATAAAATATTTAAAAGATAATGAAATTCTCTCAAATGGTCAATTCGGTTTTCGGAAGAGTAAATCAACTACGGATGCTATACATATTTTTACAGAATTTATTGTGCAAAAATTAGACTCCAATAAAAATGTATCACAATCTTTATTGATTCGCAAAAAGCTTTTGACACTATTTCATATTCTAAACTGATCGAGAAACTTGAAAAAATGGGTATTAGAAATGTACAATTACAACTTTTTAAAGATTACCTACAAAATCGCTCACAACGAGTTAGGATAGGAAAGATTTTTAATGATGAAAGACCAATCAAATACGGAGTACCACAAGGGAGTATTCTCGGTCCAACTCTCTTCCTTTGCTAAATAAACGATCTTTGTCAATTAAACATCACAAATTGTAAAATAATCTCATATGCTGACGACACAACCCTCTCGTTTTACGGTAACTCTTATGAAGAAGTTTTCAAAATTGCACAGGATGGTTTCAATATAGTCTGCCACTGGCTTGCTCTAAATAGTCTCACTTTGAATTCCGACAAAACCAAATATGTAATGTTTTCCATCCGAAAAATTTAAAATCATAGCACATTCATGTGATATGACCTCTATAACAAACTGTAAATGTCCTTATATTGAAAATACAAATAACATAAAGTACCTCGATATAATAATAGACAAGAATCTAAGCTTCAAAGAACATATTAACTATTTAGTTCAAAAAATTAGAAAGCTTATCTACATATTTAAAAACTTAAGACATATCGAAAATTGGAATTTAATTTAAACTGTATATGAATCGTTAGGTAAATCTATCCTGTCCTATCCTAAGATGTATCCGACTACAAACTTGTATGCAGAAGCCAATGTCTTAACTGTTCGAAAAATTTACATAATATCAATAATCTTAAAAAAACATAGTTGTATTGATTTGTTGGATATTATAAGGAGCTCTGGTACGAGGAGAGATTATGAAGTTTGTGAAATTATTCCGGTAAAAACATTTTTTCCCCAAAAGTTTATCAGTTTTAGAGTTAGTCGATTACATAACAAAGCAAACAAATTACACCGTATCACTAACTTAACAAAATTTGAATGTAAAAAGAAAATTTCAGATTGGCTGCTTAAACTTGATTATGAAAATACAGAACAATTACTGCAAATCGCATCTTAACATACCACGTACGAGTTAATACACACACACACACACATACACACACACGCACACACACACACACACACACACACACACAAACACACAAAAAATAAGATTAAACCGATTACGCGTATGCTCTCTCTAAAACGGAAAAAATGTCTCTGCTATATATGATAAAAAGGAAAAAAATCATCCTAAATGGGGAGCCGGGAGATCCATAGCACAGGGTATATTAGTTTTGACTCCCGTCTCCCACAAATTTATGCACTCTCTGTTTTGATAATAAAAAATAATATATATGTATTTAAAAGATAAAATATGTAATTTACAATTTTTGGGAGAAAATAATAAAGGTTTATATTATTGAAAAAAAAAGAGAGAACCGGAGACCCATTTTACTGGAAAAGGGGCATTCCATCATAGTTCTCACGGGTGACGACGTATCTGCATTTTGATTCTTTATTGAGGATAAATGTAAATATCTATGGGTCACAGCAACCACTTACCATCACGTGGACTGTGTGCTCGTTTGTCACCCCATCCTATAAATAAATAGCTTTCTTACACAGTACGCGGAAGAAAACTCCTGGTGAAACGTACAGTGGTGGACCGCCAAGCCTCCAGATAATGTGGATGGAATTGGGAAATTTACCGCGATGTGCGTTCCTCAAATTTGGCGACTGGGATTAATCCGAACAATTCCTCAGAACACTCCCCGTGGTAGATGCGAAAGAAAATGCAAAGTGATGCAAAATGTCTTCGCGTCACCAGTGAATCGAGGTGATTAGAAAGGACTCGGTCGTTGAATATTTGAGCCGCTCTGAGCTGGATACGGTCAAGTGGAAGGAGCTGGCACTGGGGAGGCCCAGCCCGAAAGCTTTTGGTAGCATCTTATAAGCTCAAGAACTCCTTTCACGAAGACAGAGCTCAAAAAAAGTTAAAACAATAAATTGTCCCTATTCCACTTGTTTTAGGTTCACAACAGTCAATTCCTTATTAATTGATCCCTTCTCGCTTGGAAAAGGCTGACAATATTTATATCAAATACCAGATACCTACATAGGCATCGCTCTCCCACACTGAAAAAAATGTGATGGAGGCACACGGCTCCACACACGCTGTGCGCGGTGAGCGCCAACTATTTAACGTGCTACCCTCAAAGGAAACGTTAAGTTGGGAACTGGACCATAGTCCACAGCAAAATACCTGGCGAACAAGTAAAAGAGGGCTTGGCCCCTTGGTGCATAAGCACAAACATCGACCGAAGTCACGTATGTCAATGCGTGAAAACACCATACAGAATACGATCAAATCCAGCCACAGATAATGTACGTCACACGGGTTAGGCAACAATAGGCACACTGGCCATAAACAGCCCTCCCTGAGCGCCACCACCTGCCAGACCGCCATTCCTGCAGACGTGATGTAAGTGTAAGGCATCACCACTAATTGACTTTTAGAAGAAGAAGATGGTATGATATTTGGTGCATGTCTGATGCAAAAATATTTCTAACACATTGTGAAGTATTGGATTTGACTAATTACCCCAAACCCACTCAGAAATGAGTGAAGTCCTGTATCCAGCAAAGTAATTTTTATAACTTGTAGTTTTATAAATCTAAACATAGATAAAATTTGAGTTTCTTATTGCAATATCGAAATAACAGTCTTTTATTAAGATCAGAAAGTTATTTACATTGAACTAAGACATAAATAACGGTTTTTAATTTTTTGTTTTTTTTTTGTCCGTACTTGGTTAAACCGATTGTGATGAAACTTCGCGGATAGACAGAGCCACGCCAGAAGTGACCAGAAATATTTTTTACCAAAAACCTTGAGAGTTATTTTGTGAAAACTAAAAATTGATAAAATAAATGGTCATTGATAGCTTTTTTTTTAAAATTTAAATGATTAAATAAATTATATTAATAGAAACCACCCAGGCACCTAGAATTTTATAGAAAAGCCATTTTGTTCTATTTCTTTATTATTTATAAATTGATGATAATAAATATCCAGCAAAAGGTTATTTATGTTTGCACGCACCTACAATAAGATAAAATGTTCCGAAGGATGAGAAATATTGAAGGAAACGAAAATAAACGAGTAATCAGTAACGAAATTCAACGTTCAAAGCTTATTTATTCTCTACCTGGTGACAAATAATATAAACATGAAACAAATTTAATACGTGATGTTGTATTCAATGGTTCTATTAGATGCTTCAATTTTGTTAAGCATTTGTAACTTTAATTGCGTGTCTGATTTCAGTTACTGAGGACGTGAGGTTTTTTTCAAACTGGGCAGGACACATCATTTTATATCATACGCGGAAAGGAGCAAGATAAGTTCTGACAAATTTAATTTAATTGATTTCTGCAAAGTAACCCCTGTTTCTATCATTTTATATCATACGCGAAAAGAAGCAAGATAAGTTCTGACAAATTTAATTTAATTGATTTCTGCAAATTAACGCCTGTTTCTATCTGTTATAATTCCTTCTTCTACGTGGTACACCTATTTTACTATAATTAACCTTCCTCGGTTCTTCGGGTTAATTTGTTAATTTGTTATTATGTTAATTTAACTGTCAAGAAAAGTCGCAATTATTAATATAATTTACTAAGACTTTATGACAATTATTAATTATGCATTCACTATATATTATTATTGTAAAATTATGGTGAAGTCTGTTATCTTAAGAAAATTAAGTTTTTTCCGTCTTAGGTTCCTCGGATCAATAATACCCGAGTATGAAAAAGGTCCTCGGGTCAGAACAGCCCGTCTTTTGCAAACAATAATGCTTTGTTGCATTCTAAGAATACACTGACAATTTATAAATGTTAATAATATCTTCATTACTTAGCATGTTATTGTTGAAGGTAATTTGAGAATAATTGTTTATTTACATAGGTATGCCGGTAGATTACATTATTTACGTGTGATAGTTACTTTTATTTGATTCATTCGTTGTTTGGACTTGATGTGTTTCGTTGGTGTTTGAAATGGCTCACAATTTGACTGATTTTGCGATTTCGCAAATCGTAAACTACAATATAAATTCCGAAGATGAAATAATTTGTGGAACGTAGAATAGTTTGGATGAAAATCCTACCGACATTATTCAACCCAGTTTATACAGTGAAAGCAGTAGTGACGAAACAAATAGCGATGAGGAGCCTCTTTCAAGACACGTTACCAATACCAGTGCTAATGAAAACCAAATGCTATCAAAAAATGGTGAATTTGTATGGTCAAGAACCCCATTAGAAGTCAGAGGTCGTTTGAGTAGTGCAAACCTAATAAAACGTACACCAGGCATTACCAGGTATTCTTCTAATTGCATAAATACATTTAGAAGTTCTTTTGATTTACTTCTAAATAAGCGTATAAAATCTATAATTTTAAAACAAACAAATATAGAAGGTTCTTCACGTTTCGGAAATGGATGGGAAGCGTTAGATGAAACGGAGATAGATGCATATCTAGGTATTCTTATTTTTGCTGGAGTTTTCAAGTCTAACGATGAAAGTTTAGAAAGCTTATGGTCCGAAGCTAATGGAAGACCTATATTTCGGGCAACAATGTCCCTGAAACGTTTCAAACAAATTTCTGCGATTTTGCGTTTTGATAAACGTTCTGACCGAGAAGCAAGAAAACAGAGTGACAAATTAGCAGCTGTGAGAGATATGTGTGATGAATGGGTGAAGCATATATTAAGTCTGAGGGAGATGCAGACAACTTCAAAAAGGCTTGAACCAGCTTTGTTGTTACTATCATGATAACCGTATTAGTGTTAATATTTCAAAATGTTATCAAATTATCTTCACCCGTAAAAGGCTTCAAATTAAATACCAATATAAATTAGATAACATACCTTTGGAACGCATCTACCAAACCAAAGATCTTGGTGTTGTTTTTGATTCCAAAATGCTCATGTCTGATCATGTCATGACAATGGTTGCAAAAGCGTATAAAAACTTAGGATTTGTTTTAAGAGTGTGCCGTCCATTCTCAGATTCTGTATGTATTAAAGTTCTGTATTATTCTTATGTAAGAAGTGTTTTGGAGTATTTCTGTAATGTCTGGAATCGAAATTATTTGTCTTACATAGAGAATATAGAGCAAATACAATGTAAATTTATTAAGGCATTAAATTATCGCACACAACATAAAAAAATCAGTTACAAGGAATCTTGCAAAAATCATAACTTATTACCGTTAAAGGACCGACGTACACTTCTACAAATTTTGTTTCTGCACGACGTCTGTAGTAATAAAATTAATAGTCCTGAATTGACATTTCAAATCCTTCAATTAAACACTCCTTCGAAACGTACCAGACACACATCTCTATTTCATGTTCCGTTACTCCGCTCAAAATATGCTCAAAATCCTGTGATTAGTCGTACTCTTAACTGCTATAACAAAAATATTTTATCTATTGACATTTTTCACGACAGTAAAGCTTCCATAAAAAAAGAAATAATCTCAATTCTAAGAAATAAGTAGTAATAAATAATAATAATAAAACATCACACACAAATCACAAACATGCCACACCTCTTCACATCCTTCCCTACACTACTTGCACATCACTACTTACATTTAAAAATCACACACACACACACTCACACACACACACATACACACACAAGCGCGCGCGCGCGCACGCACGCACGCACGCACGCACGCACGCCCGCACGCACGCACGCACGCACGCACACACACACGCACGCAAACACGCACGTACGCACGCACGCACGCACGCACACACACACACACACACACACACACACACACATTTAACCTTATACTTACTAAATTAAAACACTACTAGATATACACATGTGCACTGTGTTTTGTAAAATGCGTACCTTAAAATACCCATAAATATCTTCAAATATGTTGGTAATTGCCAAATGTTATTTCTATATTATATTCACACAGTAAAAAATTTAAATATTTACTAACTTTATAATGTTACTAAATGCTGTTGGTTCTGTTGACAATAAATTAAAAAAAAGCTGTTGCCTATGTTTTATAATCCAAATATAAATATCACAATTGACGAACAGTTACTTTCATTTAGAGGTCGATGTCATTTCCGACAATATATGCCAAGCAAACCAAGTAAATATGGCATAAAATGTTGGATATTGTGTGACAGTGAAACAGGATACGTTCGTTCAAATCAGTGTTTTACTGGAAAACTCCAAGGAAGTGCTCCGGAAAAATCAAGGAATGCGTGTAGTTTTGGATCTGACAGAAGGTTTACAGGGCTACAACCTTACATGTGATAATTTTTTTACAACTTATGAATTAGCTGAAAAAATTTTAGATCGTAAACTTACCATTCTTGGAACCTTACGGAAAAATAAACGACAGATACCCGTAGATCTTTTAGATACGAAGAAACCTGTGTTTTCATCTACTTTTGCATTCAATTCAAATATGGTTCTTGTCTCATACATTACGAAAAAAAAAAATGTAATTTTGTTGAGCACAAATCACAACAAAATAGAAAAACATTAATCAGAGCAGAAGAAACCAAAAATGATCATGAACTATAATGCAACAAAGGGTACTGTTGATTTTCTAGACAAAATGGTTTCGGCCTATAGTTGTAAACGAATGACTAGAAGGTGGCCAATAGCCATATTTCATAATATGATTGATATTTCATGTTTCAATGCTTATGTATTATACTGTGACACCCACCCAGACTGGAAACAGAAGAGAACCGTACAAAGACGGTTGTTTCTAGAGAAATTAGCCATGGAATTGGTAAATGATCAAATCGAGCGTAGAAAAACTCTTCCTCGCACAAATGCTTCATTGGAATTAGTACTACGAGTGCAGACAGGTGTTACTGAGACATCGAATACTTCCACTACTCAGAGCTCTAATAAAAGAAAAAGGTGTAGTGTATGTCCATCTTCAAAAGATGTAAAAACTTCAAAATCTATAAAAAATGTAAGAAAGATATATGTTCGAAACATTCTGAAATTTTATGCCTTTTGTGTTGCCAAGAAAATGAGTAATATACAAATATAGTCGTTTATTGTATCCTTATTTTTATTAAATAAATGTGTTTTAGAAATAATTAGATTTTGTATTTAATTTAAAACAATTGCTTCATATTTTTGAAATCGGGTCAACATGACCCGATGGCCTCACGTGTAAATAGTATTTAAAGGACCGAGGAAGGTTAAGGAAGATGTGATGTGCTACACTTCATTTTATTTGGCATTAAATCAGCAAGTTAAGTAATATTGAAGTGCCTGTCTATAATATCGTATTAACTACCTTTTATTATTTTGAGGGGATATCATAAATAACATTAAGACTCCATAAATCTATATAATAGCACATTGATGTATCCTATCCACGCGAAGCTAAGGCGGGTTGCAGGATAGTTCATACAATAGTCCCGCGAGAATTCTATTGTCCCATATTTTTGTTATATTATGAATAGGCTGCCAGTTTACATTGTTGTCCTAATCATTTTGATTTATATCAAGATTCATAAAGAGCATTTTCCATCGTAAAAGAGTCATAAGAGTACGATGTAATGAAAGACTGATGTCATGACTGTCGAGTGGTACTTTAAGAAAATTAGAATACGTGCTTCTCGGGACGACAAGCAATAAAGAAAGAAACGAAAATAACTTACTTACAAAACGCGAAGAAAGAAATAAACAGTTTGATTAATATTGTTATCTTTACTGAACTTAGTAGAACACATTCATTGGATACAGTCTTTTTTACGGAATGATGGTGACAAACGACCACACAGTCTACCTGATAGTAAGTGTATGGCCCATAGACATATATCCATTATCCAATTTCTAGTAAAAAGGGTTTCTGGTTATCTACATTCACTATATGAAAAACAGCAGCATTAAACTGCTATTTTAAGCTGGTATTCTGAGAGAGGGTGATCTTTACCCGGTCGAGTCGACCCACTCGTGCTACAACCATAATAAAGCTGTAGCTTGGCTCGTATTAAAGTAATGTTAGCCTATGAAAATTCACTGATGGACACAGGCCTCCCCATATACTGCCGTATATGGGTGATAAATGCTATATTTGCCACTCTCAGTAGGAGGGTTGGCAACCGCAGTTTATATATTTTGAGTTGTTATCACTAGAGCACTGCTGCTCATGTCTAGTTTCATTACCTTATGTCACCTCTTGCGACACCCACGGGACGATATGTGGTAATGGATACTCTTATTCCATCACTACTCAGCGATGTTATTGCATTGTTCACAACATTGCTTTTTTTGCCAGGCGTGGCAACGATAACAATTTTTTTATAGAATAAGGTGAAAAACGAGCACATAGCCCACCTAACGGTAAGTGGATACCGTGACCCATAGACATCTACAATTATCCTCGATTAAGAATCAAAATGCAGATGTGTTGTTACCTCAGAGGTTTGATATGGAAAGCCTCATATCCAGTAAAAAGGGTCTCCGGTTCTCTACCCTCACCATATGAAACCATTAAGCTGCTATTTTACGCTGGTATTCTGTGAGAGCGTAGCCTCGTGTGTGTAAAGACAAAACACAGTAGCATTGAGCTGTTATGTTACGCCGATATTCCGTGCAAACGATGTTCTTTCCCAGGTCGTGCCGACCCACTCATGTGACAACCATAATATAAATTCATCATGTCTCTAGCATATATAAAAGTTTGCAAGCCTTTGAAAGTCTCATTACTAAACACAGGCCTCCCCCAAAGACTGCCGAATATTCAATTTCTGCGCATGAGAACTATAATTGGAAATTATGAAAAAAGTGCTCCAATGGCGATTTGAACCTAAAATTATATGTCTGCTCAGGTGCCTTAAGATACTCTCTTCATCGATTTGCTGACTCAAGCTACCGTCAAAATCTCCCAAAAACTGCACAATGTTATGTTACATATCAACATATTGTCAAGAAGTTTTTAAACAAATTATTATAAAGGATTATTTGTCATCACTTGACACTGGTAAAAGGACAAGAGTACGAGTCTATTATCAAATAAAATATCCATACGTCTTTTGTTAAGCTTAATAAAAATCTCCACTAAAATATCAGACACAATTTCGTCTGTAATCGATCACCCGGGAGTATAAACAAACCTTTGTTTCAATCGACGTTTTGTTTGTTAATTTCATTGCTTGTGCTCGTTTTGTTTATTCAACGAATTTTAAAAATGGAGGAGGTTCTCAAATCGACTGTATTTTTTGTGTGTTTACCTCATAACATTTTTTTTGTTGAACCGATTTTAATGAATCTTTTTATTTGACAGTTGTTGCTTATGTGGTTTCATATAAATTTGATCAAGATCTGACCCGTAGTTTTTGAGTTATAATAAATACTGAGTATTTAATTTACTTTGAATACATTGATGATCTTCTCATTTTATTTATATTGAAATCGGTTGTATAAAAATTTACCACTTGTTCGACACACTCTCTCGTTCGATTCAAACTTCATTCCCATTTTTTATTTCATATTTATTTACACACAAATAACTGAGAAGATACAACATCATCCAGTAGGCCTGTTGTTATATAATATAAAATAAAAGGTAGTAAAAACTGCACCTTTGTAATTATACCTATAATACATAAGATTAAACAGGAAAAACTCCTGAAGTCGTTTTAGATGAGATGTCTACAGTGTACGAGAATTTTCCCTAGTAAACTATGATTTGATGATGATCGCCATCATCATTTCAGCCCTTAACAAGTCCACTGCTGTACATAGACTTCCGCCAAGGAATGCCACAAAGGCGCGGTCCTGAGCTACCTGTATCGATCGACTTCCTGCACGTATTACCAGGTTGTCACTCCATTAATTGGAGAGACACTCTACAATTCGCCTGCCGGTACGAGGCTGCTTTTTTCCCCATTAGCTGTCGGTTCTTCAAATTATATGGGCGGCCCATTGTCACTTCAGCTTACTAATCCGTTTGGCTATGACGGTCACTCTAGTTCTACTGCAGATATCCCCACTTTTAAGTTTATCACGCAGAGAAACACCAAGCATAGCCCTTTCCATAGCTCGCTGAGCAGCGAGTGTGAAGGACCACGTCTCAGGTCCATAAGTCATCACAGGCAACACGCACTGGTTGTAAAATCTGCAGTTGGATATGTTTCGTATGCTGGTTCTGTACTCGGATAACTATCGTAATCCTCCTGTTCAAACACTTCAGCACTTCGATATAACGACAGTCAACGTGGCACCGCGGAAGAGACTGCAGCACCGCCGAAATTTCGACGGAATCAAAGGCTTTCTCATAATCCACAAACCCAAGGTAAAGCGGTAGATGGTACTCCTCGGTCTTCTGTATAATTTGCCAAAGGGTATGAATGTGGTCTATATTACTAAAGCCTTTTCAGAAACCGGCTTGTTCGGGAGTTCTGCGTGCGAGATTACCCGTAACAACTCTCGAAAACAGCACGTAGACGCGGCTCAGAATGCAAATCGGTCTGTAGTTGTTCAAGAGAGTTTTTTTTTGAAGAACAAGACAACCGCCTTTCTGCTCCATTCCCCGGGAGTAATGCTACAATGGAGAATCGAATTAAACAGCTTCAGAAGGACTTCAATTACAGGTTTTCCATCCGCTTCAGAAGCTCCGCTGTAATTCCATTCTCGCCTAGAGCCTTGGTTTTAAATTGCTGGTGAGCCATTCTAATTTCGCTCAGACTGACGTCCTGGATATCATCGGAATAGTTTCGGATAAGACTTGCTCTTGGATTGTTACTCACATTTGCGTGTAGCTGCAACGATGATGTGTACAGCTGCCCATAGAACCTTTAAATCTCACTCAAAATCTCAGTTGTCGAAAATGATGCTGCCACATTTGGTCTTCAGCTTCGACAGTTGGCTATTTCTGACAGACAGATCTCGTGCAAGGACTTTGTAGACTTCTATAGAAGCTGTATTGAAGTAGCGTAAGTCCCGCCGCATGCATTTGGTGATCTGTCTATTCAGTTGCCTGTATGCTGTCAAATCTGTTGAAGACCGCAAATTCATTTCACGTCTAACAGCTATGAGATTAAAAGTGTGGTCGGGGAGCTCCGACCATATGGACAATTTCTGCGAGCTTGTCCTTCATGTCGGCCACTGCTTTGCAGTCTGCTAGTCTTGCCTGTTCCTCTATGTATCCTCTTGTGACATCCTAGGGTTGATATGGGATATTGTATATATTTAATTTAATTATTTTTAAACTTTAATTGGAAAGATTTATTAAATACCTTAAAGCAGAGACTTCCTTGAAGACAATCCTGGAATGGGAC